TTAAAATATCCGCTTTAATTCATACTGTAATGAAAGATTGAGATATAATAAAATAAATAGATGGAGAAAAATAAATAAATAAAATGGGAGGGAGAGGAAGAGAGTCATATAATAGAACTCTACCGACCACTAGGCCAAACAGACCACCTTCTGAATAATTAAGATATATATACTGCATCGCCCTGACAATGGCCATAAGCCATGAAACGTCTGCGTAGTATTGAGGCCTGTCTAGACCCAAGGTAAGGCGTATCGGGACCGAGTATCGAGACCCGGCGGCTAACCCCCATGCCAACGTGGTGTTGCCTAGACCTAGTCAGCCTTGCTTACATTTGTAGATCTACCTATTTAGTAAGTAAATTTAATGCGTCATGAAGCTACGCCATTTCCTATATCTTAAATGTATTTTCAAGTGTACTGTAATAAACCTCTAGTCTCTAGCATTTCACTGTATCAGGATTCGAAGCCCGAAATTGTGGAAAAAGGACGGCACGGCACGGGACGAAGCGGGACGGGTACCTCCGGCGCTTATCCGCCAGGCGTCACTATCCAAACATGTCCAACGACAACAGCAACACCAGCCCCACGGACATCATCACATACATCGGCGTGCCGCTCGCGGTGCTGGGCATCCTCCCGATCCTGTGGAACTCGGCCCTCACGCTCTGGACCGCGTTCCAGGTGCGCCGCGCCCTCAAGCGGAACCACATCCCGCGCTCGGCCGCCGTCGTGCGAGCCGACATCGTCAACCGCGTCATCGAGGTCGACTTCGAGCGCGTGGCGCTCTCTCCGCCGACGCGCGGACGCGCGGCGCCCGGGTACTGGGAGACGGGCTCGGACGATGCGGCCGGGCGGCGGCACTCCAGCTTGCCAGGCGGGTCCTGGACGCTCCTCGCGCCGCCTTGGGAGCCCGAGCCCGTCGGCCGCGTCACGCAGCGCCTGCAGTACGCCGACGAGCTGCGGCAGCCGCAGGTCGAGGTCGAGCTGCGGGCGCTGGTGCATTACCTGCTGGACCTCGGGGCCGTGCCGGCGTCGCGCGGATGGCGCGCCCTCAAGGAGCGCGAGCTCTGGACGAAGAAGGGCGAGGTGTTGCTGCTTGCTGACGGGGGATACTCGGCGCTGGAGGTCGCGCCTCGCGCGGACGCAGAGGGTATGCTCTCGTTGAGGGTCGTATGGTTGCGCGGGTGGACAACTAGGGGACCCGGGTCACTACCGCTGGGCGCGGTAAGGCTGGTTTCGGGCGGTGGGACCGAAGCTGAGACGTATGGCCATAAGCCTATACTAGGTGCAGACATTATCTGCCAGATTTCTGTATCCGGTATCCTCAGCGCTGGTCGGTACTACGCAGAAGATCAAACTTTAGATAGGGAAAAGGAATCTGAGTTTGATATCCAACACTTGCGCTCTCGCCGAGGCAGCCTTCACGGTGCGTGGTTCGCGAGTATGGCCGTCGCATACTCTATGGCCACAACACAAGCCGTGCTATGGGACTACGTCATCCCATCAGACATTCTCGACCTCGCTACGGCAGAGACAGTCCCCTGCGGCGTGCTCGTCTTATTGGGATTAGCCGATAATGCTGACGCGCCGCAGTGGATGCCTGGAGGGACGCCATCCCCTGTTCTCAACAGAGTAAACTCCGGATTTTCAAGCATCGACCTTTCTACCGACCGCCGGACCGTGACAACGACCAAGGACCAGGACCCGGTGGTTGCCAGGGAGAGGGCATCGGAGAATCACCGGCGGAGGATGGCTGAGCGTGAGTACTCTTTCCTACGTCCCTACCTACCTACCTACCTACAAAAGACTCCCATCTTTATAAGAAGAAAGGGGTGCCCCTTGAGACGAAGTGCCTAGCTAACCCTACCAACAACGTTATCTAGGCGAGGAAGAAGTCCGCCGCGATCACGCCGCGCGCTCTGCGCACGTGATGGCCGCCCTTGCGAGCTCCAGATGGGATCCCCCCCGCGTGGCGGTCACCAGCCTACGGTGGCTACAGGCCGGCGGACACGTTGACGCCTCCCTCAAAACTCCTAGCGAGGCAGCTGGCGCGCTCCTGCATCGGATTGTGTGTGAGCCCGCTTTCGCGACGTCCGTGTTCGACATGCTAGATGCATGGAAAGTGTGGGCGTCGGCCGGCAGCGGGATGGGACGACCACATCTCGAGGGCCTGCAGGCCCATAAACTCGAGTTTGCCGTAGCCAGCGTCCTGCTGGGGGTAGTGGGGGAGGTAGTAGTGAGTGAGGTGGGTTTGCTGGCTGTAGATATGGCGGAGTGTATGGCGCGCTGGAAGACGGTCCGTTCGGGCTAGGAATAATAGGCCCCCATATTACTATCAAGCTAACCCACCGAGTAACCCTTACCCATCTCTACTTGTAGGTCTATGAAAGGCGTCGGAGGTGAAATCTGTACGGTAATTGGGTGTTAGAAGGATTTGAGCTCGGTAGTCACTTATACCCATCGCAATATATCAGAGACCCAGTTGCTCTAAATTGAAATCCTGTGTTAAAACTGGCTACATATGTAAGCGGCCTGATATGAAATTTTCTTTGCGTATTAAAGTCGCTGTTGGACTTGAGCCTGTTTAATCCAAGATATTTAGTCTCCACGACAGTTTAGTCTACCTACCCACAAAGCTATGGTTTGATCTTAAGCTTGAAGTTGGGCAGGCAGGTGGTTTTCCCAGCTTGGTATATGTTCGTTAGCGTGACTATTTTCCTAATGCAGTGCTATTTGCAACACTTTACCCCTCATGTTGGGGACAGAGTTGTCGTACTATGTATATCAATAGCTTATGTAGGCAAAACATACCTCAGGCCGCATTGCAAGAATCAAGTAGGTACGAACTGGATAGGTAGCTAAGCAGTTTACTGAGCAATCCGTTTGAAGAAACGTCCCTTTAACGTTTAGTATGCATACATTTATTGGCATAAGGCACAAAAAGGTCTACCCACCTAAGTCCCAGAATCGAGAGTGGGGTTAATGGAGTAGAGCCGACGGGCTGGACCCGCTGCGCCACAGACATTTATCTATCGGTGGTGCCAGACAAGGTGGTCTAAGCGCCTAGATAATAGGCCTTTGGCCACCTCGCCTGGCTGCCCAAGTGCAGGCAGGTGCCACTGCCCCCACTACAACACACATCTCGGCCGTCACGAAAAATCAAAAACCAATTTACAAACTACAGTCAATTCGCACTATTTCCACGACATCAACCTCACTCGCTCCCAGCCAAACTCAGCGAAAATGGCCGACTCTGTCACACTCCGTACTCGCAAATTCCAGCGGAATCCTCTGCTTGCTCGCGTTCGTCGTCCCCTCCCTGCTGCTATTTTTTCGAGATGCTAACATGCCTTGGATTGCAGAAGCAGATGGTCGCGTAAGTTACCTCCTTTCGATGTTCCCCTCGAAACTAGCGGCGACAGCAAAAGCGAATAGCGACAGCGACAGCGACGACGCATCGGAATGCCTCTCTCACTAGATAGCACAAACGTCCTAACACAGAGAATTTTCTAGCGACATCATCCACCCCGACCAGGCCGGTATCTCCAAGGCCAACCTCCAGCAGAAGCTCGCCACCCTCTACAAGGCGACCCCCGAGCAGGTCAGCGTATTCGGCCTGCGCACCGCTTACGGTGGTGGCAAGACCACCGCCTTTGCCTGCATCTACGACTCCGTTGAAGCCCGCAAGAAGTTCGATGCCAAGCACCGCCTCATCCGTGCTGGCCTAGCCACCAAGGTCGAGCGCGCATCCCGACAGCAGAGTACGTCGATTTGGGTCATCTTCCTGTTTGCCTTGGACACCTCTCTAACCCATTCTTCGCAGGAAAGCAGCGCAAGAACCGTATGAAGACACTACGCGGTACCGAGAAGACAAAGGGCAAGAAGGCGAAGAAGGATGCGTAAAAGGTTTCATATGGGTCATAACGGTTAGGGATTGGGAGCGAGACTACCTACATAGCCAAGTAGTGTTTCGTGACAAAGGCAATGCTATAAACGCAACTTCATTGATACCCGGTATCAGCCAACCGATCCTGCAATGTCTTGCAACGGAATCAAATGATATTTGTGACGAACTCGTTCCCAACCCTCCTCGAACTCTTCCATTTCTTGTCAGTGCATCGCGGGAATGGCCATCTCTCCGATGATCTTGTGATGGCACGCAAAGTGATGGTGCTATCGTGTTCTTGGAAGCTTCAGAAATTGAAGCCACACGCATACGGCATCTACTTGGCTCATTCCACAGTCCAACACAACCGGCCGTTCCCTATCTCTTGGATTTAGGGTCTCTCAAGTTTGATTCTAAGGATAATCCTTGATATACGAATCAATGTAGTATAGCTAACGACTAATCTAAATGCAAGCTTTTCATATCGTACTTTAAGTTCTTACCCCTCGCTAGTATAGTGAATCTAACTAGATCTGATCTGAATTTCTCAGTATTTCGCTAAACCTGAGCATTGCGGCGCAGGCTTAGAAGTTAGCTGAGGCAAATTTCGACTTCTAACACCTACGTCGGATTGATGTTTTGAGACATAGGCCCAGGAAGAACACTCAGAAGGAAATTGAGACACCGTTATCCACTTTGCCAAATACTTTTAGCCAAATTATTAATTAATCTCTAGAATAACACTTTCCAATCGTCCTAGGCGATCGTGATGCTCAATTGCCTAATGATACGCCATGATTAGTTTTAGGATCAGCTATAAGCTCGGATTCAAGATCAGATCATAATACTAAGAATTCCAAGAATTTCCCACCCTAAGCACCTACACTGTTCTAGCGGACGTCTCTACACAATAAATACTCGATGGGATTGTAACAATCTCGTATATAAAAGTAAGCATTTGTTATGCGCTGACTGTATAAAGTCTTTGTGACCCTCAGTCTCGACATCCTCCTTCATACAGGGTCGATGTGCTACCTTGTATAATTTCCCCGAGTAGAGATTCATAAAAGGAAAGCGCCCAAATGAAACAAAAATGAATATCAATGGAACTACCGGGCCTCTCCGGGATTCGAACCCGGGGCCTCTCGCATTTCGAATTCATGAACCCAAAGCGAGAATCATACCTCTAGACCAAGAGGCCGTGGAAACTGTCCAATGACGGAAATTTTCCGCTCGTGCTGAGCTTCATATAGGTCACCCAAGCTCTGAGATCTATTTAGATCAGTCTAATTGGCATCCATCTGACCATGACCCTTTCTGCGAAAGTGTTGATAGGTGCATATTGAGATGGCGATAGAGTATGTTTCTCGGCGATGTATATCATCTTGTCGGCATAGGAGTCACATAAGTGAACATATACATTGGTCTAGTAAAGAAATTCAATATTTTCTTTCAGTTTCAGAGTCTGTTCAACTTTCCCAAAGAGCCCCAGTTCTTCATAGAATTTTTTCGGAGTTCCCCGGTTAGTTGCGAGTTTGCGTGAAGGATGATATACAATTCGAAGTTGCTCAGTACATACCAAGTGTTAGGTCGCCAGCTGGTGTGCTTTGTTGATGCAGTCTAAGATAGTATTTCTCAGAAGGTAATGATTTTATTCCATCTTCTTGAAGTGTCTCAATTCTAGAATGTGGCTGCGACAAGACGGGCTTCCGCCTTCGGGATGTCGACGGTGTTTCCATATTTCCGATAAATCAATTTTATTCTTTGAAAATTGTACTGTGGCTTACTACTCGTACTTGGATTCAACTCCGCCTGTACAATAAGTTTTACAAGCATCATCGACATCAGTTTGATCAGTTTACCTTAGCTATTTACATCAGAAGTAAGTAAGTCAGTTAAGTCTAGTTGTGTCAGGGATAAAGGAACTAGGCCTATCATATTTATTTAGACAGATCTAACTGGACTTAACTAGATTGAATGAAATATCTACAGGTCTAACTAAATTAACTTTATTATGCCTGACGAACCTAACTGACCTGCTTAACTAATATGTCTAACTGACTAGACATCACTCACGTGGCTAAACCTACGGATGTACACGAATAGTAGGGCAAAGGACCATTTTTAGAGAAAATCGATTTGTCGAAAATATGATAATGGGCCTGCACAGATGTCCGCGATTTGATTGGGTTTCTTAATTGGTCACATTCCTGCCTGCCGCTTCCACTGCTGATGAGGCTCTCGCCTAGCTCACGGGCGAATAGCCTACTCATGTCGATTGTGTTCAGCGGTTCGGACCCAATTGGGTCGTATGCTAGGGAGGTGAGACCCAATTGAACGCTAACGCATGCTGCGTTAGCGCCCAGCCATGGCGCAGATGATTCAACGACATCTGCGGCTCGCAGTTTGACGTTCGACGCGAGCTCAACCCCTAAACTCCCCGCTTGCAATCGCCCTTGCTCCAACTGGTCTCCCGACTGCTGTGCGGGAATTGGGAGCAGAGCCATATTAACAACAAAACGAGTGACACTAATCTTAGCCTGATCGGATTCTTCGTTCCTTGATACCGCTAGGATATTGCTTAAAGCGTCTGTGCCAGCTTCTTCCGCCTCTTCCGCCTCTCCTGGTGGGGAGTCGAAGCTGTTGGAGTATAGCCCAGGAATGTACATCTGAATGCCCCCAGCCACGCGCTCAACATATCTGCACAGATTTGCATGAGTAAATTTGTTAACGGCGCTGGTCATAGCAGCTGCGTAGAACTTTTGATAGGCAGCGTCGCCTTGCTCGCTATCAACTGAGAATAAGTGAGTCCACGATACGGTCGATCGTATTAGTCCCTCGTAGGTAGCGACGATCAGAGAATAGAGCGCCTCCTCTGTCTCCACGTCTACCTCGTCCCTGATGAGCATGATTCTAGCGTCCACTTTGAAGCGTGCGCTAAGAGCCTGACTTAACCCTTCCAGAATAGTTGCAAGTAGTCGATATATGTTGAAAACCAGCTGATTGACCTCGGAAATGAATTCGCAGTGACTTCTAGCTGCCTCTCTCATCCGAGTCACAGGAAGTGCAATGTCCAGGGCGGCCAAGCTGTCCACTTCACACCCTCTGCCTAGATGCTGTATTACAGAATCCAAAGTTGGATGCAACGCTGTCCGGACATGCGAGTAGCTTGTCCGCTGTGGCGGGTTAGGGAGCAACAAGAGCACTCTAGGAGTAACCATCGTGGTAAATATGGCGTGGCAGACTATAGTGTATAGCTTCTCCTTGAGGAAGGAACTTGTAGTTCTTTGGTAGAACCGGCGGTGAATGTCGATGTTCTTGATAGGTTGGCAATCAAGCTTGGATTAAAACGTGAATCGATTCTCCCTGACATGTCACACTGAGTTATATGTGGAGGCGACGACGACGGTGGGCCATTATTACCACATTATCCGACATAACTATTTTTGCTCCAAAATTTGATTTCGCAAATACCGTATACCGCAAATACCTAAGTACTAATATCGCATATACTATATAAAACATTAAATTAATCAAGCGTATATTTAATTATCTTGCTGCATAGTTTTTCGCTGTATACTTAAGTATCTAGCTAAGTAGGTACTTAGTTTTGTTACTTCATTTTTAACTTATTAACTAACTAGCTACTGAAATAACTAAACAATTTGAAATAACAACAGCGTTAATTTATAATAAAGTTAACAGTATATAAAAGCTTTATATAATAAATAAATATATATAAATCTATAAATATATATTTTGTGCAACGTATAATATATATAAGAGACTTATAATCTATGTCTAGATTTAAAAAAGCGAAATAAAAAAGTTATGTCGGATAATGTGGTAATGGCCCACCCTAGACGACGGCATATTCCATATTCCATAAGCCACAAACTGCTATGAATCACAGACACAAAATTCAGCGACAAATCAAGTTCACAACGCCACCTTCTGACCTGTCCTATCCTTTAGGGCTCATTGCATTCATCCCGCTTCTTCGAACTCGGCGATTATACTGATCCAACTGAGCCTATCTTGAAAAGAAAGAAGGCCGCATTTTCATTTTATACCTCTATGACAAACAAGACCCGTGTAGACTTTTAGCCCTAAAATTTAACAATATGGCGCCTTCGGAGACATCGAACCGTGGCAAAAGATACAGTATGCTTGAAATGGTGAGATAATAAGACTATTTGATTCAAATCTTCGTTACTCAAGAATTCCAGCCTCATAAGAGGAGACGCGAATCACCAGCTCCTCCTCAAAGTCCTTGAAAGTGTGCCGGGATATATCGATTCCTTCCCAGCATACTATCCTGTCCGCCCTGCTGACTTCTGATCCGTCGAAAAGGGCACCGGGGTTTCCCGAGCAGGGGAATGGACAATGCCGTGGATGGCTCAAGGTAGAGGGCTGATCACCAAAAACGACCATTCGTTTAGCAGTCTAACCAATTTGAACAGAAGAAAATCCAATTAAGGTTCCCAAATTACTTCTAATTGCTGGCGTATCTGATGCTCTGAAAGACTTGCTTCACAGAGAAGATACCAACGAAGATCAGCTCATCACAATCGATGACCATGGGCCGAAGGTCAGTACTTTTAAGTCCTTGTATTACCCCTGTCTTCCTCCATTGATGTATCGTCGTCTAACTAAAAGGGTCAGGTCATCTCCTTACCGACGCTCGATTCTAATGGCTACCGTCGGCATCATCTTAGTGGAAATTATGCGGTGTCAAACCTGCTGCAGGAGCTGACGCTACGTGCCGAAGATGGCCATAAGGTGGCAGTCATTAGCACCTCCATCTTATGTGAAAGTCCCCTACACCGCATCCGAAGGCAAATCAGGGATCGGTTCTGGGATGGTTTGACCCGGCGCCTTGATGCAGATGTGATCGAGCAAGTGATCAAGGACAGCAAGGTTGTGAGTCGGTCTGGCATCCCAACAATCTACGTCCCCCGCGCAGCCCACGCGCAGTTGATTTATTATTCCAAGGTGGCTGAGCAGCTTCTGGAGCTTAAGCTGCAAGTAGTTGAGATGCCCCGTCATATTACAACTGAGACCTACAGATCTATGCTCGCTAGTCCTGGCATTCTGGCTCTAGATACTCACACTTACCTGGACGAGGGCGGTCATCTACAGACTGTGGTTGTTCCTTTTGTTGTGCCTAGCAGCCGCTTCAACGAGTTTTTCGGATGGGACAGCTACTTTATGGGCATCGGCCTACTAGCTGATAACAGGACGGATCTTGTCCAAGGAATTCTTCGAAATTGTATTTTCGAGATCAACCACTACGGCATTATTCCAACGCGAACCGATCCTACCTTTTGCTACGGTCACAGCCGCCTTTCCTCACCGACCTCGCAATCCGGTTCTACAAAGCTACCAAGCACCAAAACCCGCACGACGCGCAAGCTTTCCTCAAAGTGTGCATTGAAGCTGCCATCAAAGAGTACAATGAAGTCTGGACTAGCCTCCCTCGGCTAGACCCGGCCTCCGGTCTCTCTAAGTATCATGCCGACGGCGTCGGAATTCCGATTGAGGTCGAGCCAGGTCATTTCGACACCGTGCTGATGCCCTTTGCTTTGAAACATGGCATATCTATCGACGAATTCATCGAGCGGTTTAACGATGGTGAAATCGACGAGCCTGAACTGGAAGAATACCTCCAGCATGACCGAGGCGTCCGGGAATCCGGACACGACACTTCATCTAGACTCGAAGGTCGCGCGAGCAATCTGCTCATCACAGACCTGAACTTCTGCCTCTACAAATACGAAAAGGATATTGCTTGGGCCCTACGATACCTATTCGACGATAACCTTGATAGTGTGCCTAGCAGCTCCCTCTCAAGTTCGCCATCCGACTCCTCATCCTCCAGTTGGGAGGATCGAGCAGCGAAACGCCAGGTAGCTGTTAACAAGTATCTTTGGAACAAGGACCAGGGTACATATTACGACTATGATGTTAAGAAGGAGAAGCAGATCTCATCAGAGTCTGTCACTTGTCTATGGGCTCTGTGTTGCGGCGTTGCATCCGAGAACCAGGCGGCGATGCTCGTGTCAAGCGCCTTGCCCAAGTTTGAATATCGCGGCGGCTTGGCCGCAAGTAGTCCCTCTACCAACACTGAGACTATGGCTCATGGGCACCAGTGGGACTACCCTTCCGGCTGGGCGCCACATCAGATGCTCGCCTGGGATG